AACTTCTATGCGCTGACGCGAATTTCAAAAGCCACCTGGGGTCTCTCTTTTCTTACGCTCAGGATCATATACGGAGCAACCTACCTGGGATGCGTGTGCTACGGGGCACCTGTCTGGGCTGATAGGGCCACAATAGGCGCGGTACGGCGAAAACTTCTCCAAGGCCAGCGTCTAGCCTTGATTTTCCTGTGTAAGGCCTATAGGACGGTTAGCACTGAGGCCCTACCTGTGCTCGCAGGCGTCCTTCCGGTAGATCTTGAGGTGCAGCGACGTGCTGCTATGTACTACAGTGCGAGACCTAATTTGTCAGCAAGCTTTCTAGCACAACGTGATAGAAATAAAATTGATAGATTGTTTAAGCCAGTGACGGACGTTTGGGGCGAGCTTATAACCGAATGGCAGTGTAGATGGGCATCTTCTATTAAGGGCCGCCACCTGTATCAGTTCTTCCCATCCGTGCATGAGCGGCTGGAGAGGGCATGGTTGGAGGTGGATCACTGTGTTGCCCAATTTCTTACTGGCCACGGCAACTTTAAAAGCAAATTGTTCTCATTTAAACTTATTGATTCACCATGGTGCCAATGTTCGACAGAGGAGTTGCGATACGAGCAGTCGGCCCATCACATACTCTGGGAGTGTGATCTCTGGCAATATGAACGTAACACTATGTTAAATAATTTAATTGTTTCGTCAGGTGTAGTTTATTATACGGACCTTGTGGAGTCTAGAACGAATTTCTGTGCGTTTAGGCGTTTTTGCCATACCTACCTATTATTGGACGCAAGTACTTATAACAGCTCACACATAGGACCCACTTAGTTTTAGTCAAATTTCCGTGGTGCTTGGCGACTGGGCTTCACCCAGTTGTACAGTCTCTTCTTTGTGCCTTAAGTCTTAATTCATTCTGTCTCCTGCAGTAATTCACCGAGGGAAGTGAAAACCATAGTTTTTTCTTCTTCTCCTCTTATAATATCTTCTGATTCACGTCGTTGCGGGAACCAAGATAGTTACTCATGTCCCTGGGACGCGCCGGACTTCAGTGTTCCGGTGTTTTCATGGTTGTATCTACTGTAGATCCTGGCTTACAGGAGTTGCAGCGGTTTTGGGAGGTTGTGGTGGGCTTGTCCCATAAAAAAAAAAGACGTGTCTCTGCCATGGACCATTGTGAAAAAAATATTGCTTATTTTTTATTAAGAAGACATTACTCAGCTATGCTGGAACGAGCGCTGCGTTGCGGCGCCGCGCCGCTTAAATCAGCAGTGACGCTACTGTCGATTCTAGCGGCGCGGCGCCGCTGTTTTGACCCTAATAATACCTATATAGTTATTTTTGCTTTTGACTTTTTACCTTTTGTTTGTTATTCGTTTCTTGTTTTTTGAAATCAGTTTGTTTATATCTGAGTACCATTATATATAGTGTTCATTATAACCATAATTATAATTATAGTGATATATCTTGTTCTGCTCAATATTACATTTTTTGAATCTGTTTATTATTTAAAGACGTTTTTAATTGTACAAATATAGTTATATATTTTTTTATAGCATAAGCCGGTAAACGAGCAGACGGATCATCTGATGGTAAGCAATCGGCGCCGCCCATGGACTTTACCGCCCTTTTGGGAATTTGAGGATTGTGGAGAATTCAGGGATTGGGGAGACTTGGGAGGGAGGTAATTGGGCCTCCGGTAACCTCACTCACACGACGTGAAACAACGCTTGCGTTGTTTCACGTCGGTTTTCTGCTCGGCCGTGGTATCACTCCGGTCGAGCCGGCCCATTCGTGCCGAAGCATGGCTCTCCGATACAATTAACTTATATGATAAATGGAAATAGGTACTTTCCATTTTGTATTTTCGATATAAATATTTTTAATTGGCTTACGATTGAATGTAAAGTTTACATGTTCAAATATTGTGATTACAATTACAATTAGGATAATCATTAATATAAGGAAATAATTTACCGAAAAAACAGTGTGGGGAATGTTGCCGCATGGGCATGACGTGAGTTGCCCCTATAAAAAGCGGCGCTGATATAGCATGACCTTATGGTCATTCCATATTATCATTATATATAAATATATATTCGATATAGTATCGAAGGTACATTGTAGCCGATATGTTGTCCACTACTATAATAACGTTGCTCATATATAGTAACATTATTTCAAGTAAGTACTTTATATTGTTTATTTTTCGACATTTTTATCCTTTTTGCTTCTAACAAATCTCATTTATATATATGTTTTTTTTTTGTTAAAGATATACAAGCAAAGGACCATGAAGAACGAAACGCGCAATTTGATGGAACGCAGATACCCCTGTATAAAAGCGATAGTGTAATTGAAGCCCTGAAGGTACGGAAAAGAGACACTGTCAAGATTGTTCATAATTCATACGTAGAGCAGACAAATCATGTAGACGAATTACAGAGAGGTAAGAGGTCTGATCATTTTTTTAAAGGCAATCCATTTAGTCGCTTTGATGCTCCATTGAACAGTACTGGACTAATAAACTATTTTGGTTCCCGAATGTACCAAACAAACGTCTCTTTTCCCCCTAGTGACGGAAAGGACGCCGTATATGGAGCCGTAGACTTGCTAATTGACAATTATTTTTTTGACGATTCTAATGTAACGAATGTATATGGACCTTTAGTCGTACGGGACGGTAAAGTTTATCAGGGAAATAATGAAAATGCTCAATATGGAGCTAAGGTTACGATAATTAATAACAGACATTATGGGCATTCCGGAAATCATGATATGTATACTGGTGGCATCGTTCAGAAAGGTAATACCTACTCAGTAAATCTCAAAAATAAAACCTCGATGGCAATGAGTATTAATCAATCTAACAATACCTCCAACAATGACTCAGAAGGTGGAATGAACACCAAATATAATACAGCGAGCGAAGAAGGCTCTGTGGAGCGGAATACAAACGACAGTCAAGGAAATTCATCATCAACCAATTATTATTCTGACTCAAGTTCACAAATAGAAATTACATTACATTATAAGGAGAAAGAAGCATTTGCAGACAACCACACTGAACCCAACAGACAAATGGGTTTATCAGCTAATGTATTTTACTCACTTTCATATTCTTTTATTACATTGCTTAAGTATTCTCTATTCTAGTATTTAACATCATAAGTTATAAAAAAGTCTATTAAATAAAGGAATTCATTATCATATCCACTGAAAGTTTTCATTTATCCCCTGCACAAGTCCTTCGTATCATATTACGTAGTGTCGGAGAACCTAACGGGTAACCGGGGCTCCGACTCGACGTGCAGGAGAAGGAACGGGGTGGTTTTTAGTCAGTAAGAGTCTGACACTCCCTCCCGCCTCACCCAGGCGGGAGCAGTCATTCGATGATTTTCCCCCCTTAAAAAAAAAAAAAAA